CATTCATTACTTGCTTGTATTATCGTGCAAAGTTATCGAGCACTCACTTCCATATTTGCCCTTCTTATTCGGGGGAACAGTTATCAGTTGACGTCTTATTTGTAGTCGATCAACTTTTTGGAGGGGCGGAAGGAAGATAGGTAGGCTGGTAAACATTCCCACAGTGTAGGAAATATGCTCATTTGTAAATAAATTGGGGGTAAACGGGAGACTCAACTGAATCCCAGTTGAATCGTTCGTTCATGATATACTCCACCTGTATGTACTGAACGAAAGCTGCCTCATGTTTCATATGTAAAACATTACAGTATATTCTCTTCGATGAAACACGCAGATTACCAGGCTTCTACTGGAAACTCATAGATAGTCCGCGACCAGTTTCGCTCTTCTTGGGGCTCATCAGGTAGACATAACCCCCGATTTTGACTGCTCTCAGACACAACCTCAAAACACACGGATGTGGCATCGTCTGTTTCCGGATGACATTCACCGTGGTCAAAACCGACGTCGTTTTTTTCAGCAACAAAGAACCTCGTACAACTTCTCTTGTTCCATAAAAATTTCACCGAATGGAGTACAAGCTCACAAATCGTTTGGGTAGCATAGATGTGGTGCATTCAATTGTTAGGCGGTTAGTGAACTACCTACTTTACCATACACGAATATGGCATTCTGATAGTGAGGTCTGGAAATTCATGTACCAATGATTTTTCGCCAGTATAGTACCGACTTTCTCTATGTTACCAGGCTGAATAAAGTGGCCTGAAGTGGAGGCATTCTCCCATCTATCTGATATGACGATGCCGGTTTCTGGCAGTCGTTTTTACCATGAGAACAAGCAAACAAGTTCACGTTACGGTGCTCCACAGATGAACAAAAGCAGAGTACTTTGAAACTGTATGCACTATGACTCAACGGAGGATAAAATCGATCATTCAGAGTGCCAAAATCAGTACGATGCTTTGGATGAGATTTGGTAAGCAGAGAGTGAAAAGCACTAAAAAAACGTCAGAATCTTAGAGGCTGATATCTGCATGCTCAGTCAGATGGGCAAAGATCACTCAGCTTTCAGTTTGACGATTGGATAGGTGTTAAAAGGTTAGTTTTACTTCCGCATTTTACTAAAAGAGGGGATGAGTGATTTTATTTGATCGATCCTGCAGCGCATATATAGGGAGGAGCGCATTTGCCTGTGGGTACACCGCTTAAAAGAGCGTAAGGACCTAGTATGGTCTTTCAGTTATTCGAATAGGTGGGCAGAGAGCTCAGAACACCGCTTAGTTGCATGTGTGAGATAGACAAAATCGCATTTGTTTGCTTCAGTCTGTTTGATGATACATTGCTTTTCGAGCTAAGGCTGTGTGAAACACATTTGCATACTTGTTTTTGCGAGTGGAACACATAATCCAGACTTGAACAAACTTTTTTGTTTGGATTGTTCCACAGTTAAACAGGCAACAAAAGATCTGCCTGAGGGTGTCGTCCGACCCAAATTCATGATGTCCACTTTAGGCCATATACACCAGTTCGCTGGTGTATCCGACATTACGGTTGATGCACCGAACCCAATATTCTGGAGCGAAGTGGTTGGGGCAGTGTTCAGCGGCAGTTCACTTAAAGTCCTCACATTTTACTGAGGATACTATTGGTAGCCTGGCAAACCAGTCATTTCTGAAGTCTACCTGAGCGAGATTTACTACCGGTCCAACAAGTAATACTTGAGCACGGAACAAAACAAGCGGTCCTGAAGGGTATCGTTTTTTTCGGTAGGATGATGTGCTATCCCTTGAAAATTCTCATTTACAGATGAAAGAAAACATCAGAAAATTTTGAGCTTCTCGTCAACGAAAATTACTGGTAATGGCAAGATGTGACTGTTGTTACAGGCAGTTTAACAGCAGACTTTTTGTTCATTGATGGCAATGTCACTGATTATTCAGCAGGTGCCAAAGTGGGAGACGCGCCTACTTTTTCGATTCTTGTCAATCTGTCTATCAGCGAGTTTCCAGGCATTCTACCGAATACTCCTTTCAGTTGGACAGTCCTCACCTCATCTAATAGTTGGCACTTCATCGACCGCCAATCTTAAACGAAAATCCGGCTGAGCACGTCACTCAGGGCAGATGGATCGGTTGTCTCTAAAATGTGAGGCCGGCTGTTCTATATAAACTTTTCGCTGGCTGGCTGCCTCAGTTCACAACTAGGTGGGTTCAAACTACTTTGATTGCTCGTGTTTTTTACTGTTGAAGATCAAGAGTATGGCTTTTTTGTCAGTGATAACTCACTGCTAGGCACTGATCTGCAGGGATGGAGCTGAGTCTTCCAAGAGAACAAGAGTGAGAGATGAGGCGGGGTAAGCTACGTCTCAGGGCATGGTTGTTCCTGAAATGAGCCAGCTCGCAGTAGGCTTTCGTTAACTTCCGTTCCCTGTAGTTATCATTCTAAGCACTACCATCTTTCGAATTCGCACTAGCGATCGGGAGAACTGCCCTCGTAAGAAACACCTTACTGTCGTTACAAAGCCTTCCTACCATCACCATTCCTACATTGGCAGGGAAGTGATAAACTACAATGTAATAATTTGATAAACAATTGGACAAAATCCAGTAATATTTTGTGAGAAATAAAAGTACGCAATACTATTTAAGAGCGGGATTTCAACAAGATGACTTACTTCTTGGCTCTTTTTCTTCAATCACTGTAAAAAAAACATGTGAAAAACGTCATGCAAACAGCAGATCAAAGACAGACCCTGTTCGTGAGAGACTCATATGAATATTTCACTTGTACGGTTGTTCAGTTTGGAGTCATCTGAGCGGGCATACACACAGCGCCACGCGTTGGAATACGTCGCACGAGAATGAGGTTGGGGAACGGATTTAAACAAGACGGAAACACACTACTTGTTGGGGCCCAGTAACCAATTTTTGTTGTTCTATGGCCTCAGTACTCCTTATCAGGATTTAACCCAGTGGTCCAACAACTACTCATTGGTAATATCTCATTTGATGAAGCAGGGATCACGTCAAAGACATCTAGTATCGGGCATGATACAGGGATCTCCTTTTCCCCATTGCTGTCAAACTTCTCAAGTGACCGGGTGATGTGAGGGGCATATTCTCGCATTCAATGAAGCCCGAAGCTCTAGAACGGACCTATATGGACTCCGCTGTCCTAAATTTCACTCGTGGTTTCGTCCCGTAAGTGGAATCGACCTACACCGAAACTCCAAAAAGCAAGTTGTAGATGCTTTATCATTTATGGGGATCATCAGCATTGCGTATCTCACTCCAACCATCAATCTTTCGGCCAGCAGCTGAACTCTTGACCGTTCAACCACGAACTTGTGATCAGCATTGCGAATGATTTGTACTCAGACGGGATATAGTGTCACTCATCCTTCAATCACGGAAACTACATCACGTAGGCCACCCACTAAGAGGCTGACTAAATGATGTCTTCTCAGATGGGATTTTTACTTATCTTGTAAGACTATTCTTCCTCTGAACTACCTAAAGACTGCAGAAAGCATAGACAATCTAAACTCTGTTCCTGGTCGAGCCAGATACCACGCAAAAGTCATCGGACTGGCTATCAACACCAAGCAAACAAGTGCTCGAAAGGCAGTTCCCATATAAGAATCGTTGAAATTAAACGTGTCGATACTTGGGCTCTACGGTTATACCATCTGAGCAATCTAAGAATGAAGCTGATATTTGTGTCGAGTTCGCGAAAACGTTTTTATGCGACATGGGGAGATATTATGGGGGAGCAGTGGAATCAGCTTGTGCGCGAGAGCTTGCATGTTCAAAGCAGCTATCTATGGACTCAAAGCTTTTGATCATTGGTGTAAGGGGTACATGTTGGACATTCGCGGCTCGACAAAACATTTAATTCTGCTCCAACATCCCTTGTCTCAGACAACTACAGTAGCAGCAACGACTTCAGTGGCTTGGGTGCCTTGCTAGGAAACACAAGGTGAGCGTTGCAAACCTGCACTGATTCCTTTGCCTTGCCTCAGTGGTGCTGCTCTCTCGAAGAACAGCTGAAAACACCATCCAATCCAGTTTGAAGGGATGCAGTCTCGGCCTAGAAAACGTCATTCATGTCTTAAGTGATGATTAGATTGCGGTCTGCGGGGACTTAGCTTTTGACTCCCATTCATCGGGAACGGCAGTACGGAACATATGTGAGTGCAGCTCATTTTGTCACATGAGTTGGTCGCAGCAGAAGAACGTAGTTAAGGTTTAGCACTATAAAAATTTGTCCTGTCACACTAGAACATCTTGATCAAGGATAAGCCTGGTTGTTGATTCCATCAAAAGTAGTGTCTTAAACGAAACAAAGCGAAAGCTCACAGTGTGTACTCTCGAAAGCTGCCCAAAACATCCAGACACAACTAGAATTACAGTGGTTATAGGCAGAACGTGCGTCTTGAGACTATTTATAGATAATAATTTTTACAGGAAACCTCCTTGTGGGTGATACTTCTGAGTGAACTCAAAGATGGCTACATAATGGGCTGAGCATTGCACCTGGATTTGGTTTAAATGTCGTCTCAGTAGCAAAATACAAGGGAATTCAAGGTTGTTCATCCGACTCGATATAGGAGCGGATAGAGTTATAAACCAACTAACTATAAAAGGCGCCTTTTGCATGGAATCAACTTATGAATAGAAGTAAGAAGCCAGGAGAACCAGATCGATAAACTGGTGACCTTGTACTGTTGTATTCTAACCAACTTAATGTAGTAGTCATAACACTGTATTTGATATAGCGTGGATTTTGAAGTTCTTGATCTTATCACAAAAGTTATGCGTGTGCTGCCTATTCCTGATAGGTGCATTAACCCGGTCCAATCACGGATAATTCTGGATGATCAACCCTTGTGATTTCTGAGCGTTTCAAACGTATCTTTGTTCAGAGTAGTGAACAGTTTCACTCGTCACAGACACTGGAGGGAAAAATGCACGCTTTCACTAAGTCGGACACCAAACTCTTTAATGGGACTTACAAGTGTTGTATGCCTTGCCCAACAAGTGGATTTCGATATGGTTACAGCAGCACAAAATGTTTGTCAACACACTCGTATTCACTGAGTGACGTTCATTCAGGCTTCTGTAGAGTTGGTGTGCCAAAAGTTCCATCGGTGTACGGAACAGATTTACTGCCAGAAACCTTGCGTTGCCTTTCATCTTTGAAGCAATGGCTTTTGTCAAGTCCTGAAATATAAAAAATAGAGCGGAAGTTATTTACCCCAACTTCTTTAACGGTATCTGTTGTTTCGACAGACACAATGAATAGTCTAATTACTCATGCTCATTTAGTAGTATGAAGCGGGGAATCTTTCTAAATCCCGACTGAACTAACAAGTCGTTGAGGTCAGTCGTACTGAATTTCTAATACCATTGGGCATAAGAAACTCCGCTGATGTCCTTTGGGGCTGAGCTGCAGAAATTATTGATGGTGCCACAGAGGACTGTGTGTTTGGAAAAAATGTCGTCCATTCATAAAGGAAACTACTCACAAGGTTGCTGAAAACTCTTCGACAGTCCACAACCGGTTTCGTCCCTCTTGGCGCAATCCCCGAGTTTCCGTCAACCTTATGTTCTATTTCAGACCAAACCGGACCGTTTTCGAGAAATCCACTCATTTGCAAATCAATCAGGTATTTGTCTGGTGCATTGGAACAGTTTCATCAAAATACATCAAAGTTCTCTTCATACCATTACTTCTTGGAGCATGAGAGTGGACAAAAATGACATACTCACGAATGGTGAATGTCTTTCAGTCCTATTTTACTGCCAAATTACGCAGTCCTGTTCACAAATACACCGACATAAGAAAATTCATGATCATGTGGTCAAATTCAAAACCAGTTATAGGAATTCTACTTGCATATTTGTTCGCTGTTCCTTCAAAACCAGCAATTTGGAGACACCGGGTAACCAGAGAGCACTATCGTCTTCTTGTGGTCTAGTGGGAATAAGTGGACCCAATCATTAGTTTCTCTCGTTGATCAGTATGAGAAAGTTTATTTTCTTGCAAGTCTGTTCGGGGACCACAATCTTCAGCGGATTAAACCTTGAGGGCATGGGTTTGGGTCACACGCGAGGTTGTTGGACTGTGCACTGCTAGTCACCGTTATTAATATCGCCGTCATCATCACTATGATCAACATCTGTGTAAATCGCAGGTATTCCATGCAAAACAAAACCATCTCGGTTGCTTAGAAACTTTTGGACGATCATTAGGTTCCAAGCTGCTCATAGCACCAAATACCCAGCGGAGAAATGTGATTACAGTTGAAAACAAGAATAACCTTGCACAGATTCGTTTGCTTCCATAAGTTTTGAAGAACTCGGCCAAGCATAAATAATTCATCTGGTCCAATCTTCAAAATCGGTGAGGCGAGAGAGAAAAGTTTGGTAGGCCGGTCCAAGTTCGTTTATTTGAACTGTTATATTTTGCTTAGTTCAGGTTCACTTTTGGGCTGAATTACCCGCATACGTTTACTTAAGTAGTGAGTACCGCTCACGTTTAGCGTTTAATCGAGGTAAGAATTTCTCACTGTCTAGTGTACACAAGTCGGTCTGTATGGATATACCATCGTGCGGTGTTTAAGAATATAGTGCACTCCTGTCAGCTGTTGCACTTCTGATTCAAGATTGATGCAAAAACTAAGTTGACTCGATCCCGGTACGTTCGTTTTGATGAGCGTAATTCCAAATGCAAAGCTTCCATACCTTTTTCTAACGGTCCAAAATTTTGATCAGAACAGGATAGTTTTAGAAGTACTTCGTGCACTATACAACAAACTACGACGTTATTGGAATAATTTTGCTACTTCACAGGCTTGCTGTTCAAAGGTGACCTTTACCACCCATCTGTAAAGCCGCCCCAGATAACGACACACCTGTCATAGTGAACGGTGTGCGATAAGTGACCCTTATCGTGCTCCAGTCATTATATATGTTGATTTATACCAACGAGATTGTAATACGTTACATGCTTGCATACATACCTGCAAGATGAGTTGGAAAAAGTGCAAGATCCTCTACTTCTCGTAAGGAGCCCATCTGTTCATCTGTCTAAATGGCCCATCTGAGAAGTCGTATCGTTGAACAATGGTATTTTAAACTTAGTCATGGTTCCAACTTCCATAAAGCATTTTCGTTCGATCGAATTGGGTTGTGGCAGGTGGCACTTAATAATATTTTTCGTAGCTAAAAACGAGGTTATTTAATCAGCTCACAGGATCCAAGCAGTCGTCCGTAAAATCTTGACACCAGGATGGGGCAAATCAATATACGTGTGCATATACATACAAATACACTTCCATCAAGTGATCAATACTTTTAGTGAACAAACTCACCATTTCATAAATCCGTTCAAAGACTTTACGAATTTCCAAACGCTGTGCCATGCTTCGGTTTCCAGCGATCTCGATGATGATCATCTCGCCTTCACCTAAAAGCAACACGAGGAGTTTTAATTTGATAGTACTGTTATGCCAATTAGAGTGGTCAGAAGCAGCTGTTGAAAAATGAAGTCCGTTGCAAAACACCTGATCGAATAGCTTACGGTCAAGCGAATAACTGCATACGTATAAGGCCCAAAAACAGATAAAAAACATAAATAGTTCAGTTGGTTAAGACGGAATCAGCTGGCTGATGAGTCGACATTCAATGGAACTGGCTGGGTGATCTGACACTTCAAGCTACTAGTGATGAGCTCCATTTAGGGACCATTGAAGTGGACTAAAAGTGTCACCTAGAAAGACAGTCTCACAGTAAAAAAAGGCGGAGTAGTGCCGCGAGTTCAACATTTCACACCATGGTGTTTAGATGTTGTAATCTGTTGTTGTTCTTGGTCACCTAAAAGCAACACAAGGAGTTTTAATTTGATAGTACTGTTATGCCAATTAGAGTGGTCAGAAGCAGCTGTTGAAAAATGAAGTCCGTTGCAAAACAGGTATTTTCCTCAGCTAAGTTCTCGGTATGAACCTCCCAAGCCACCAAAGTTGCACAACGTATATTGACGCCCAAAACCAGGTCAAAAACACGTGTGCAGTGAGTCGTTTATAAAGTATATGCCACGACAACATTCTGGAAATTCTAGAGCCCACCCGCTCAACTCTGCATTGACGATGTCACCTCGATTGGTGATGAAACGTTTGCAATCCAACTGCCAAGCTCGGCGAACAGACCGATTCTGAAGCCTTCCGGATGCGCTTTGGTAACCGGCATTCGGCGACTACTGGGTCATGGTTGGCTACAGGGTCGACTTTCGACCAATCAGAGCTCGCCTTGATGCCGGACCGGCGAGCGGCTTGAACGCCTGACCACTCTTGTACGGGATAGGCTTCCTGGATGTAGCAGCGTATAACTGTGAGCAGCAAAGCGGAGTCAGTGTGGAATTCCGTCTCACCTTCCTTCTGATCAGAAGGACATGGAATAAATGGGCTTCGATATCTACCAGTCTTTCTTCGCGGTTTCGCGATAGGAAACCTCTTGCCTGGGTTCTTCCAAAACGGATGTGAAATTGTTGCCAGAAACAAGTGTTTGTTACGAGAAAGGAACGGATTTGCGCCATATTGCAGATAATTACAAGAGAAATCTACACAATATGTACTCGCCCTTGGTCCTAAGCTCTTTAAGGCGACATTACTATTTCAAAGTAATCCTGCCAACATCTGAATACTAGGCAGTTCCTTGAATAAAAATGTAAAACATTAGATTCACGGCATTAACCTGAAATTCTTTGTCTTGCGGACGCCTGATACGGAGGACAGAAGCTTCACACTATGGGGCAACTGACCACGTGTCTCCTCCTGCCATGTTCACGTGATGAGTCCCAATAGGATCGATGAGCTACGTGTAACCGAATCTTACTCCACCGTTACAATGAGCTATTCTTTTTGAGAGAAGCACTGCTGTTGAACATCAACGTTAGAATACCGTTTTGGTTATTATGGAATTTCTTAGCGTTTTAAATGTTCGGCGTTGTCTTTTTCATTGGAGTGAGTGGATGAAGAGACGCATGACTGAAAATTTCACACACTGTTTTTGCTGACCTGCTAACCTAGCTACCGATTTCAGCTTACTCATCTTGTTTGCATCAGAAATGAGAAAAGATATTCGTGGTAAGTTCCGTTTGACCCTTTCGCCGTGTTCAATCTCAATTATGCTCGACATGACTCATTTATTGTTCATGCAGGCCACATGGAATTTCGTTCACACTTCTTAGCCATCTATCAAACAAGCGCTGTTTAAATATTGCCCTGAGATTTCATAACGAGGCTAGGAGAACATCAACATAAGGAGCTTTAAATCCGTTATTGATACTCCAACGTGCTCTTCTACGTTTCGGAACCTTGATTTGAAAAGCATAAATTTCAAACACTCCGCTTTGATACATCAAAAACCATTCCGCCAACGCCATTATGGTTAAGAAGGCCTCTAGGAGAGAGTATTGAAATGACTTCCGACAATGACCTTTACTGACTGCTTAAAAAACTTTGACTTTTAATCTTTAAGCACGAAGCTTTAATTTGGTTGCTTGTCCAAGTCAAGATTTAAATCAGCACAAAATAACTTATTCCTCAATTCAGTTTGACCGATGCTAGTGAGAATCTTCAACCGGAATCATCCGGTTAGCATATGTGCAGGACTACTCGAACGAGATTGACGTGAATCCAACTTCTAAAAACTCCGTAACTAATTACAACTGATCAGAATTTTTCTGCAGATTTCAAGAGTTCGTGAACGGGGAATTTGGACGGGTCGGCCAACCGCTTGACATTAACCAGAGAGCTAACAGACCGTCTTTCGTGACCTGGAAGAAAGCAATCACACTACTATGGCGTGAACACGTTCGGCTGTTACTGCGCGATAATGCAGTTGCATCCAGCATGTGTTGGATGGTCACGGTCACACATTACTGACGACGAGGGAAACTCGATTGTACTACTGCCTTTCGGAATCACCAGAATTACGTCAGGACTGGAGAGTAAGGTGCGAGTAGAAAAACAGCAGCCAATCACGTTAGGAATGGTGATGTGTACTTCCTAGTTGCATATGTCACGAAAACCAGCAGTTGTTGCTTGGTACTTGCCTAAATCTCGAGCCGCTCCAGTCCAGCAGTAAATCCGGAACGAGTAAGTAAACGGGTTATACTCTTTGGTTAGTATGTGTCTGGCGTGATTGGAAAGTTCTTAATTGGAGCCCTGAAAAACTACCCTTCCCACTCATTAAAAGGTTGGCTTCGGTTACGTGATTTAGTCAATGGGCAACAAAGGTATTGGATCTTGTAAACAAATTGCAGTATCGGATTTCCGTGTCAAACTGGTACTCGAGGATCTCACCAAACTAGACTATCCGCTGGATCCTTGTAAACTTTCCCAAAACTAAACAGAATTTCCAATGTTTGCTTTCAATTTCAGGAACAAGAAAGGTCTTGAAATGCCAATGGTTCGGAACAAATGAAAATAAAGATATACTCAAAAGTAATTTTACAATCTCTCTCGCTTGCCAATTAGTTTTTTTCTACAAATCCAGTTCTTGTAGAATCCCATCTAATGACCAGGATACCTGAGTTGAACACAAATTTAGGGGTTGGATGAGATAACCTAGTGGCTAGAACCCGAATTTACAAACCAAAATGTCCGTCGTTCGAACCCGACCTCTGCCTCTCGACTTTCCCTGCCTATGATCGGGCAACCTGGCAGTGTCTCAGCTTGCTTTTGTTGGCATGGCAGTTAATCACCAAAAGCGTGTTACAGTGACCGATTTTTTAGAATTTTTTGAAGCTTGGGTATACTGCTTTTTACCGAAGAGTGGTGGACCAACATCCCGTCCGTCGTTGAACCCGACCTCTGCCTCTCGACTTTCCCTGCCTATGATCGGGCAACCTGGCAGTGTCTCAGCTTGCTTTTGTTGGCATGGCAGTTAATCACCAAAAGCGTGTTACAGTGACCGATTTTTTAGAATTTTTTGAAGCTTGGGTATACTGCTTTTTACCGAAGAGTGGTGGACCAACATCCCCGATAAACTGTGGATTAAGCAGTCTGGCGACGTATTTAGCATAAAATAATTCACAAAATTACGCGGTTTGTAGCAGCGCATTCCCTGCATCACCGAATTGTCACTAATGAATTGTCACTGCAGAATTTTCTAGTGATGCAACATATTTTGATCGAGTGCGCCTTTGATGGTCGCAGAAATCCACGGAATATAACGCATCTTTTGAACGCTCTGACAAGTGAAACACACCGCAGACAACAGGCAAACTTAGAACGACGACTCTTAGAGGACTGACCTACCAGATGATGTAGTTTGAAAATCTAGCCTAATCTGCTTGTCTATCCCCCACGCGACCCCTCCGTGTTTAAAATGCCCTATCATATCCTATCTACCTAGTAAATTTCTTGTGATATCCTTTTAATTGTGTCGTTAATTTGCGGGTAATTTTGCAGCATGATCATTAGATGTGAGGTCTCTTTTAAGCCTGTGACCATGGTAGAAGGGAACGAAATGCACACCCAAATCCCGTACACCCTTCAAAGAGAAATTGTAAAAAGGGGTCGTTTGGTCGCGAAAAGGCAAAATTAGGCACGAGTTGGAAATAGAATTTGAACGAAAGTTGGTCAGACTTGTAATGCGAGTATCGTCGGTGAGGGATCAGATTGCTGGCCCAACCGAATTTCAGATGACCCCGAGGCAGTGTAACCTCATGGAATTTGTAATATTGTTTGTAGATAAATGCAGTGATTTGCGATGAATGTCTGTGGTGTAAATGCTGATGGGAGCTTAGCGCTGGAACATTTAAGTGAGCGTCGATCAGTTTGCCAGTCGAAGTCATTTGGAGTTGCTTTCACTGTTTTTTTAAACTCGAGTGTCTGTCAACCTCACTGAAAGCCGAGTCAGATTGTCAGTGAATGCTTTTCTTGGAAGAATCGCATGTCGATACAAATTCTGTGAGGACACTGAACTTTGTTCATCGAGTGCTAGTGTTACTTTGGAAATGAACAACCGTAAAATACCAATGCGAACCCTGCTGGTCTGTCCAGAAGTTGGCTGTCTGAACCGTCTAAAAATCAAGGGGCTCATGTTATAGTAGCAACTGGGACGAAACAAAAGAAATAATCATGGTAAAAAAGCTGGTCCATTATTTTTCAAAGTCGAAGATTTTTCGATTCTCCGGAATTTTCACCCCGGTTTAGATGGTAGTTGTGTTGCGATCAAGCAACAGCTTGTTTAGAGAGGAAGTGAGTTGCAGTGCGGTCGCCAGATGGTCTTGGATGAATCCGACATAATAAGCAGTTTGCAATAAATTAGTTAAGGACACTGGCACTCAACAAACAATAAATTCGCTCATAAAGAAAAACGTCAAATTAAACGCATGACCCCTTCTGGTATGAGAAATTGTCGGGCACAATACCAGATCAAATGGCGCAAACTACGTATTAAGGACAAGGTTAAAGGTATTGGTACTGCCGGCTATCCAGCGGTGGCCAAGTTTTGTGTTCTTCAGCTATTAGCCAGAACGTCATGAGTTAAAAGCATTGTGTTAAAAGCATTGCTAATGACATTCAACAAGGAGGAAAGTATTGTACTTTAGCTCGGGACTTCTTAGGATAAACTAATCTCACCTGCGAGAGGAAATTTCGATTGAAAAACGACAGGATTTTTCAAGCCCATGTCCACTTCGACCTGTCAGTGGTAGACGTCGAACCCGTCGTTGAAACGACGTAGCTGATGCTTATTTGTTTTGTCCTGAGTAGCATCATTGGTTATGGTATAAAGATGCAAGATTTCCAATTTATCCAACAAATGAACAGTTTAGACTCAGGTACAAAGAATTACTAAACCAGCCATTTGTGGATTAAAATGAAACTGACTTATTTCGCAGAATTCGACTTACCGTGTCCTTCGCAAGCTCGATACAAGCATGCCGCATCTTCCCGTGGATCGAACTTTTTTGAATGAGAAGGGAAACTTTGGTCCGCTGACATGTAATTCAAGAGTCTTCTAAAAAGACAATAAAATAGCTTCCGTCTTAGAAAACCTCTGCATTTAGGTGAAAAGCAAGTTACACTCTGAAAAATGGTCAATTCCGAGAGTGGATTAAATCAAGGACGGGATCCTATGTTCGCAACGAGAACGGGATGTACTAGTTAGTTGGTACAAGACGGACTCAAAAATCTTTCAAACCCCACGATTTTTGTAAAACTGCATGAAATATTAAAGTCTCCAGAAGCAGAGTTTCACAACTTTTGGCTGCCGTCAAAATTTTCGGGAAAAACAATCTCATCGTGATGCGCAGTCCTTACAGAGACTGTTTTGGAATAAAATGTATAGGCGTTTGACGTGTAAAAGAAAATGCAAGGGAGCAAAATCAGTGGTGCAAAGTGATAAGGAGATTTACTTTGCAAACTGTTCAAGTTATGGTGATGAAATATACATCTAAACAAGGAAACAAACATCCACAGCAAAGTAATTTCGGAATGCAGCATTACGCTGTTTTGTGCTCACTCGCTCATTCCTAGTTTCAGACCTAGCGTCCACACAAAAGTACCCCCATTCTTTTGAACAAAACGAACTCAACCCAAAACCATGCCCACGCATAGCGACACGTTCTAACGGGACATTTGTACGTTCATTGGCAGTTGATGAAGGCTCAGAAAAGAACTGATGTATGGTCGATAAACCATACTTCCTCACTCGAAAACTACTCAGCATCTAAATTTTGAAGAGTCGGAGCGCGTCCTTTCACCTACGAGGAGCTGACTTACATGCTGGAGATTAGAATAGAAAAAAAATATACAAAATTGCTCATCTGTAACACCCTTATGGTGCCTAGCTACCGTGCCATCAAAAGGAAGCGCGAGCGCTGGGATACGATACGGTTGCTCAAGCGTAGACAGGAAAAGTCAAGAGACAGAGATTGGGTTCGAACCGCAGAGCTTCCGGTGAGTAGATTTGTGACTCACATAAGTCAGGGGATCTTAAAATAGAAGGAGTTTCAGTTTTAAATCCATGCACAGTTGTGATACGAGTGACTGTTTCTTAAGCTGTCCCACCAAACAGTGTCCGTTCGTCCGTCCGTCCTTTTTTGAACAGTTAAAAACTCGACCCACAAAAATACAAAATCAGAACGTATTTGGTGGAACGTACTCACAGAGGCCGATTACTGACACCCGCCAGTGTCTGTGGATAGACTGCACCTGGGTGTGTTACTGTGGACCAACAGCTCATGAGTTGCTAGACATGCGGGGTTAATCAAGTAGCCGACTAGTGTAAGGTTTGTCAGTCTGCACCTTGCTTCACCTGCATTACTATTAGTTGCCTAGCTCTAAAAATAATCAATTCATATTGAACGAACTATCTAAATTTTTAAATTGAACGAGTGCATGACAAAAAGATCGATTAATGGAGTATTTCCAGCCTAAAAATGTCCACACTGGTGTACCGGATGTCTTTCGTCACTTTTTATTACTTGGAATTATTGAAAACGTGGCCTCATACAAAAACATTGACAATAATGGGAGCATTGTGTTGATAGTTCTTCTGAGAAATTTAAAAACTTTCTCCCGAATCAAGAATAACCTTAACAAATTTTAGCGAGCGTGTTTCTCGCGTTGTGTCCTAGTTGGGTTCCGGCAGAATATACTACTGACGGAAACTCGAGGAGTGCACTTACGTGATGAACCCCAAGTGGGTGAAACGGTCCTGCGCTGTCCAAGAGTTTTCAGCAACCTTGTGAGTAGTGCGTTCTTCTTAGGAGAGTTTGAATGGTTTTCAAAAACATTTACTCAGCTCCTCAGTAGATATGCTTGGCCAGTTTTCCAGTGCTATCCTAGAATCTAGAGGTGCTCTGTTCACAAGGTCCCTAATCAGGAGCACAAAGTGCTTCTGCATTTCTATAAGGAAATCTCTTTTTGCTGCTTCTAGCTTTTCTACAAAATCTCCAAGCTATCCACGACTTTCCTAGCACGATTCCTTGTCACGCAAAAAGTCAGATGGTTAACTGCTCAATACGCGACACAGAAATAAGTACTATGCCGAATATTATTTGTTCCAGCAAAAATCTCCGAGCAAAGCTCTCCAAATACAGTACTGTTGATTTGTGGCTTGTGACAAAGGTGACAGCCGCCTGTGGCCCCAATTCAATAACGCTGAATGGCTGTTGGGTTTTGGTCACACGGAATACCAGAGAATAGTAGTCAGAACAATTCGAAGGTTTAAATACCAGCGTCATGTGTCTTGCAGGAAAAGACAACACTTCTGCTTTGTCATGGTGATCGCCAAGCTAAATAATAAAAGTAAATGTTTTCAGTAACCTGGTGACGAGTTTGTGTTTAATCGTAAGACAAATGAGGGAGTCTTTGTGGAAATTTTAATTCTAGCAAGGAGGAACGCGGTTTGTGATTCCGATTGGCCACGCTAACAACGCTTCTATCCCTTTGTACATTCGGTTAGTCGTTCATAGTTGTGAACACTTAAATCTGATGTACGTACTTTTGCGGCAAAAGCCAATAAACTGATTTCTAACCATCTGCCGATATCCTCTACACTCGACTCCCTACTGTAGATCTTCCAAGCTATTCTCTTTGGAACTCGAGTGGCAGGAGAATACCTTGTGGGGGTCACAACTTCGCACCATAAAAATTAAAATAATGTGAAAAGCGATTTCTCAACGTTTGAGTGGCTGTAACTGTTCGGAGCATGAATCTACGTCGAAACCACTAACAGTCGATAAGTTCAGGTGACCATAAAGATTCAGATAGCAGTGGAAACGTACCTTTAGTTTCCACGATTATGAGTACATAGACAGATGCAACTCCCAAAACGCTGCCCGTTCAAATTTGTTTGCCCTATTTAGTATAGAGTACGCATGAACAAGATCGCGTAGCTCACAGAATCAGACTAAGCTTTAACGTCACGCGATTCGTCCCACTGAGTCAGCAGACGCTGATTAAAAAACACGCTTGATTCGGCAAACAGCTGAGCTGTTGTGATCTACTATCAAGTTTTAGAGCGCTCGCATTTCACCTGATGTGGTGAGTCACATGATCAATACGTAACGTGATTTATTGCCTTTCGGCTGAATGTTCCAAGGTCGACCGTAGGCGCCAATTCGTAATCATCAACCATCACAGAAGTATTAAAAAACTAATGTGATGTTCTCCTGACCGATTATTTGGAAGAAACTACCACTTGACTGAAATTCTGAGCTTTCTAAACTTGGAGGACCTGTTTCATTTACTTGCTTACCAGCTGCTACCGAAAACTGAGTTAGTTAGAAATTCGCAGCACGTGAATCTTTCTGCAGAATCCCGTTGATCGAAATTTGGATCATGAGACTACGTCCTTTCAGACTGCCTTTTTTTTATCTCCGGGATCCCCATTACATCACCAGCCATCTGAAAGTTTATACAGTTCTGATCGCCTAGTTGATAAACTAAGAAACTTGGTTCTCGAGAGCGAAGTTTACCCGAATTCCAGAGAAAATTTCCAGTTTTATTTAGGGATAATGTTATAGCTCCCGAAGGTGACCAAAATCCATGCGGGGGTAATGTATTTTGTGAATTAGAAAAACAGGTAAGAACGTCAAACAGGAATAGACCACATAACGAAGGCTTGCGTCTAATCAGTACGTTTTTCTTTGAGTTCCATCCATCTAGTATGGCAGACGTAGTCACACTTGTCTGGATAGACTTCTGTCAGCATGGTGTACCTAAATCTGGGATGTCCATGAAATGATGTTAACACCCATTTTTGGGGGCTTGGAACAGGTTGCTCTCGCGCTCGAGAGAGCGAAGCTTTTAGGTGACAGAATGGCGAACGAGTACTCTGGGATATTAAGTAATCGCCTCTCGTGACCTGCAGAGGATTCTACTTCGCCCTCCGGGAGTCGTTTTCCTGTCACAAAGGGCGGTTTTGCCCACAACAAATGCCGCGGTGGTGTTACTGCGTGGAGAATGACAAATAAATATTTTAATCTTTCGTTGTCTTAGCTCAGCTCTTTTAAAACCTCACACTGAGAGAGATGACATGCTTTTAGGTGATTTTCAGCACTGCATAGTCTATCGTCCAATTCTATCCTCTTCAGCAGACTTAAGTCCAGCATACTATCGTTTCACGTGTTACGTAATCTACCAGCCTTTGAGGGGAGGGGGCTAGGAGAGTCTTTTACGGTCGAAAGTTGGACCAGAAAGAGAGGAACTAATGTTGAAAACCCCCCTATCACCGAATCAACATGGGTGACCAAGGGTAAATGCTCGTACGGAGCAGTTTCGGAGATCCTGGTTCTAGCCCCACAAATATATCACCAGCCTGGTTCTGCTAATTTGAATACATGTCGTTTGGAGGCCAAAAGGCGTAAGAACAAGTTGAAACAACAGTACAGTGTTTCATTTTTGCGACTGAGTACTCATATCTTGTTATCCCGCCATACCCAAGTCTCAAAGAGAGTGACCTGCTTGGCCTGAAATTCCGAACTGTGAGATTGTTCGTTCACGCCTAAGTGCATGTGCACTTACGTTGCACTCCGTTTAAATTAAATTGTTACAGTTAATTACACAACCATTCACATGACACGTTTCAGGAGTCTAGTCTTGTGTGCTGACAGGTTTAGAAAATTGATCACGTTAGCCGACGAGGAACATTATGTAACTTGCTAAACTGATGTGCATGCTACCTTCGCTCGTCGTAACAACTAGTCGAAGCTTACATTGCAAATGCTGTTCGGGCAAAACTATGCAAGTTCAGTTTGGAAGCAGCTAAAAAACCACTAAGGTTAATAGTCGGTATATTTTCCGCTTAACGCAAAGCTCTTATCCGGAAATGAAGGACAACCTTGTATTCGTCAGTTTGTAGCTAACCGCCCTCAGGAATGAACACTCCCAAGGACCGAGAAACGATCGTTCAGAATGGAGAATTAAGGTGTTCGAGTTTTGAACCTCTAGCAAAAATACGCAACGTTTATTTATCAAACCCATTGTTTCTGTTCCAATTCCTGCTTCCTGAAATTCAAAAATTCAACAATGGAAGCAAATCAAAATATCAAAACACAGTGAACTTTCTAAATTAGAATAATCCTTTAGGAGCAAAATCCATTGCCCATAATCAGCCAGAGAGTTGAGCAAATTCAATTTTGCTTGTTTACCTATCGTAGCAACTGTGTAAAGTAGGCTGGAGCCGATAGAGCTGAATAGATGCTCTTTCATTCATTCGGATTCATGAAAATCGACTTCACATCTTTCGTTTCTTTCATTGAGAGACAACAATCACCCTTTCGGACGACCATTTTGAATCAGAGTACCTTTCTTTTTGTTTCGCTTTTTTGTTGTTCAAGCATGAAAATACTAAGTTCGTTCAATTTACTGCTCCGATCGATAAGTTACCAGAGTTCAGACAGGTGAAAGCTAACTATTTTCTGTGGAGTTGATAAACCATGGTAGAATTTTAAAAGAATGCATGGTCAAACCAACTATCGATCGTCCTGTTGAAAGATTCAACACAACTCCCACTTCGACTGCAGCGATTATGCTAGATGTTTTCACGATTAGTTGGTTCTGATCGTGAAAAAAAAAACGGTAGGGCCCGTATGCTTTCTTTCCCGATCGTGGTAGAGATGGGACATTCGCAAAAGAATGGGACCAAAAACCAAGACTTGTCTGTAAAATCACACTGCCAAAACATTATCGGAATGTTGACTAGGCAACGAATCGGGTTTCGGAAGGAATTTCGGCTGAGTGGGGTGAAAGAGCTGTTCTAACGCCACTTCAACACAAATTTTATGAGACAGTTGAAATGTCAGGGTTCGTGATTTTTTACTGGTTGCTAACTTAGTTGAATTCAGGAAGAACAACCATAGAGCGCGAGCGTTTGTCACAATTTACCCAGATTTACTGTTGGTTGGTGTCTGCGAGGGAGCATTAGTGAAGTCAACCTGTCACGTTGGCCCTATCTGTTTTCACAAAAACGGCTAGAGAAAAAAATCTGATATATTTGTAGATCCTTTTCTATCTTTGAGAGCGGGAACTAGAAATTTTGCATTGACCTCAAATAGGCCAGTGGTCATCTTCATAAATGTATCTATGCCTCCAACGAAGAGCCTAACAGGGTTGAATGCTGAATAACTTTACCAGACAGACACACTCTCTTAGCTAAATAAGAGGCTGTATGCTTTCTTTAGCTGGTTAGTGTGTAACGGGTAGCAGACTGTGCGCGAGAGATGACTGATTCCGGCGATTTAGGTGGGAGTACACTTGAAGCTAATAAACTGCTTTTCGCTGGGACAAGGGTAGTTGTTGGGGGCACAGTTGTGCTATGGAACTATGACGAATCTTACCGAATAAATTCTACCGCATATGAGATCCACGCATGGAAAAATCCGGTGAAATGGTGTTACTCCGGGAGAAGTATTGACTTCAAGCCTGAGACCGCAGAAGACTGGTGACCGATGACCATAGACTCTTGATGTTCGCGTAGGTGCCATTCATTGCGCGTTGTTGACGGTTATTCATGCTTGGTTTGGAGTTTACCGACGACTGTGAATGAGTATCTCCGGCACAGACCTCCTCGGACAAATACTTCTTGAGAGTTGCTTGCAGTGGTATTTTTTTGGTCACCACCGTGAGGATGTTGGTGCAACAATATGATGGGGTTAGTAATCGAGGGGTCCACAGACAAAGTCCAGGGCGTTAAACAGTGTGGTCTTTTTAAACCAATCGGTAGACACAAATGTACAACCGAAATTGAAGGAAACAGTGTCTGCCTTAATGAAGGATCTTTGAGGGTTACTGAAAGGAGGGAGTATTCTGTATGCCCGAAATGTCCTCTTGAGCTGGAATTTTTCATAGGGACATTACTGCACTAAATATGGCGAGCGAATCAGAGGCAATCTCTGTTAGCTGCCAAGTATCTTCCAGGTGTCAGATCCCGTAAACACAAAATAACATCCAAATTGACGTCTGTTATGGGATCTAACTCCCACAGACCCTCTTCAGATTTTTTATTGTTTTCAGGGTGACTAATTCGGTAACCTCTTTGTCGTTCGAACAACGTGGAGCATACCATTCCCTGGATATCCGTGCCTCGAGTCACATGTTCCTGCATGCAGCGCTTTGTGTGTGCACATGTAAGTGCAATAAATATACTCAACTGAGTACTCCAACTGCGTACTGAGTGCAACAGTACTGCTGTAGCAGTGAATACGACTTCCGCTTGGTGGCAACCTATTATCCACTACCAAACATAGGACTCAAAAGCCCAACCAGAGCAGCAAGAAATCGATACGAATGCGCGATCGATGAAACAGGAAAGGACAAAGCAAAACAAGAAAAAACAGGAGACAGGCCAAGAAAAGAAAAAAGTCAAGGTGAAACGCGGGGTTTCTCTGCCTGTCATGGCTGCAGAATTTTTGGGATGAACTTTGTAACAGGTTCGTCGTACAAGTGCTTCCGGATAAGCATAGAAAATTGCTAAACTAAACCCAAATGAATAGAGTATGTAAGCCAAACCGGCTGTTTTGCACTTCAAAGACCTGAGTTAAGCTAATATTGGATAACAAAGTTTTTATGTGCATGACTGGTACAGCAACCACTGTCGTCTGGAAGGGATTGATTGATGATTGTTGAAAGTGTGAAGAGATTTAGGTTTTTGTGGAGATTTCGTCCTGTAAGTGAAGTCAATCTATGCTGAATAGCCTAGAAGCAACCGAAACTCCAGAGAGTCTCGGGAGGTCGCGGGTTCGAGGCTCTCCAGAGTTTCATGAGATGCGCACTGCTGATGATCCCCAATAAAGATGAAACAGCTGTACAGTGCTTCTTGGCTTTTCAGCATAGACTGATTATTGAATAGTTCAGCTTTAACACCCTTCCGATGCCTAGCTGCCATGCTACCCGAAGGAAGCACGAGGGCTGGGATACTACCGGGTTCCCCAATCCTAGATTAGAGAAATCGAGAGACAGAGGTCAGGTTCGAACCACGGACCTTCCGGTCAGTAATTTCGAGCTCTAACCACTTGAGCCACCTCGCCCAGATCGATTACTGTTGAGGTATTTACTGCCTTTGAAGATACCGTCTTTCGTCCTACGACTTTAATATGTGTTCACAGGCTGTTTGGGTGTACACATGACGCGTGATTTTGAATCGTCTGTGAGCTCTATGGTCATAAGTCACTTCGTCAGGGGCCAATTGGTGGCGACCATGGCAGTAATAGTAGGTACCAGTGTGACGATGGATACTACTCTTCAGGCATGCGAGTAATATGTTTTCTCGTAACTCCGCTTTGCGTCTATTGAAAAGTGGGATTTATTACGGAATTTGTGGAATTGCTTTGTAGCATTCGTTAACATTTGAGTAATAGTCAATGAATAAGCAGGAAAATTCAGGAAGGCGCGTTCGACAAAAAGACGGATGTTTTGTTTCATAAACAAATGCATATGAGAATTTTGCTTTCCTGTCCAATAGTCCGCAAGTGTTCATTCGGTGTTTTCTTATGGCTCAACAGATATGACTTTCTTGCTTTCTATAGTAGGTACTGCTGGTGGCATGAATTCGAATCAGACGCTTCTCGCTTATCCAGTATTCTCCCGTAACCCTTCCACATTCATCGCCTGCATTTACTTCTTATGTCTGTGACCATGCTCTTCAAAAATAAACGATAGTAGGTGGAGGACGAAACTGTGCTCATCCTTCTGTAGGGCGCCCTGAATTGCGAGGGATTTGTCAAAGAAATCGAGGTCGTTGAACGGTCGAACTTGTGTTACAAATTCGAATCAGACAGCTAGAAACGTCGGCACCCTAGAAACTTGCTGCTTCGTTCCTAGAACGTGGCACGGCCACGCAAGAATCGTGCAGTAGACACAATGATGGTGAGATAAGTGGACAGAAAATTTGTGCCAAAGCTAGAGTTGAGCTGAAAAAAAGAGGATACATAAAGGAAACCACTCACAAGGTTGCTAAAAACTCTTCGGCAGCCTCCGACCAGTCTTGTCCTTCTTAAAGTTCATTGGGTAGGTACGATCGTGTAGTTTCCATCGACTTTATGCTCCACTTAAACCGGAGTTTACCGAAATTTGATAAATACTCTCATTTGCACGTTAGCTTCGTTTCAACGGGAGGCTCAACAACTCTACAAGTGAATATGCTGCACCAGGACATCTCGAATGTCGTACCAACAGAATCATGAGGCGGCCTGTGTGCAGCAAATTCGGTAATGCGTGTACTTCTCGAAGAAAGGATACAATTTTAAGCCCTTCCGTAAGCTAAAGGACAAGCAATAATGCCTGTGTATCCAAGTCGTTTGCCTCAAATTTTAGTGTGCATATAGGTGGTTGGTTTGATTAGCAACACTCAGTTTGTCGTTAATACTGTGAGGTTCGTGTTACGCACCAGTTTTCGAATCCAAAGTATCATAAAATATTATTAAAATATGATGAACTCGGACGCCTGTGAATTAACACTTTAAATTGACGAAATTGCGCGAGCTATTTGCCATCGCTATATCCCAACTATACATTTCAATCATGCATGTGAATAGAAACCCTTATGAACATTTTCGAACAATCCAAAAGACTTACTAAAATTTTCAAGGTGTATTTTTTACTTTCCCAGTTGTGTATGAACTGAATAGCAAGGGCAACTCACACGCGAAATTTATAATCCTATATATTGTTGTTGTTCTACCGATGAATCCAATTCTTGCTATCGAGACATCACACCCTACCACGTGAACGAGTAGCCCGTAGTGCTTACAATGGGTTGTTTGTCTCTGACGAATACCGTTCCTCTTGTTTCATCTATTTATTTTCGACAGATAATAACGCACCTGATGTCATCGTGCATTGCTATGGTCACGTGTGTGTCGCCTAGCCAAATAAATTTAGCACCACATTAAATTTACTTATCTTGTGTAGGGGTTGACCAGCGAGGCGAGTATCAAAAGTCGTGAAGGGGATGAACAGCGGAAAAAACAGGCGAAACTCTTAGTTCGTGATCGTTTTGTAGAGCCTGGATGCAAAGAGCAGCGGGGAATATGAAGATAAGTTGCCCTTGAATTTCATCCTCGTATGTTGTCACGACCATAATAGAACGGTCACGTTACTGTCCAAATTTGGTTCATTTCGAATACCTATTTGAGGGCGATTAGTTGTAACGATAAATGAGTTGTCGTATTCATGTTTTCAAACCGACACTCCCAATCAATATGTGTTATTGGTTTCTACCAATGCCGGTAACGAAGTTCTGAATAACTTTACGCATATAGTAACTTCATTGACTACCGCTAGAAACCTAGGAAGTTGTGCTCCACTCACTACCTAATGATTGCGATTGGCTGATCAACAGAGCCATCGATTCGTTGAATCACTGTGCTGCTTGGTATGGCTTTACTGTGTCACTTATTGTGGTGCTATGCATGAAACCCTTGAGTAGTTCTTACCGGATTCTGACATATTTGCCATAGGATAGTTTGCTCATGTACTTTTCCATAGGTTAGTCTATTTTTATCTTGACTCCGGAAGGTAGTCAGTTTTTGATTGAGTTTTTCAGCCACCATTCACCTTTCTATATCAGAATCCTCAACGTACATCACGCAAGGCATTCCTTCGTTGGATCATTGATGGTCCGATTCGATTTGCTACCCATGTTGAGAGGGTAGCTAAAAGTGTCACTTCAACCATCTAGCTGATTACCAAGTTAATCCTAACAGATCCAGATGGTGGTGCTCCAAGGCCACATCTGCGGTGGGCTTGATCAAGAGTACTGTCCGTTTCGGCGTCATGCCATTGAGATGAAGGTAATCACAGTATATTCGAGTCACTTGGAGTCACATTCGTCGTTTCGCGGCGTGAGAAACATGCGCGCATGCAGGAAAATGCACTCCGAAGGGTCAACTTGATTCAGAACACTAACGAATGATTCCATAACCCACCTTTTCAAGTGAGGAACAATCGAAGCTAGGTTTCTGTAAAAACTGTCGAGGAAAGTGTCATATTTTACTGCTGTCCCCGCTCCACTGCGTTAGAGCCGAAAAAAAGATTCGCCAACAAGGAACACAGAGGCTTTTTTCGAACAAGCGAGTGCAACAGTTACAATGGATCTCGTACTTTTTGAATTTCACTCCAGGCTATTCCTGAATTGATTAATTGACTGGCCTGGATGCTTGCCAGCTTCCCTATATAGATTTTGGCAGTTTTCGGGTCTTAGTTAGTTTTAGGCATTCTGGTTTGTTGTTTAGAAATTTGGTTTGTTTGTAGAAATTTCACCTCCCTGACACAAAGCGAACTTGTTGTTGTTGGCCGCGTATAAAATGACTATCTGTGAAACGGGATCTTAGGGCCAGACGCGCCCAACGAGTCCGAGAAGTTCTCCACGTTTGGTTATCGGTGTGATCAGCCCACACCTATATAGGATATAGCTTCATTCATCCTTAATTTACAGAAGCACGTCACTGGTAACAACTTCTCTGATGGAAGGATTACTCATTTGGGGAACTGGTCCTCCTTTGAAGTACTCATAGATTGATGGTGGTGTGAAGAGATTCGGTAAATTTCAAATGGGGTTTCGTCCGGTGAGTGAAACCAGCTCAGAAGCTGAAAATCACCATATAGCTGTTTCCGTCTTATTAATAATCACCAGCAGGGTGAATCTGCTGAAATTCTGGAGATTTTTCATTGTAAATGTGGAGACCAATTCAGGAAAGCCACATCTAACATTTCAATACTTGGATTCCTACTGGACGGAAGCGTTGGCATCATCCCAAGATGTCCGATCGCTAGACTGTCTCCTACTTTCCGAACCTTTCGTAAACGTCCAGCGCACAGTGATAGTGCCCACACACACCCGAGAATGGCTTTTATACATCTGATGGATAAACAGGGAACGTGACAGCAAAACGTTCACATAATCTAACGAAAAGCCCCCCTACGGTTAATAACAAAGGACTGGCACTATAATGTCTCCTATCTGTTTAGTATGTAAAACGATAAAGCCAAAGGTTTTGTTCGTATCAGAGGAACCATAGTCAAAACCGAGGCATTGGAAGTTTGAATTTACTTCGTTGGACGAAAGAGGTTTAAACTAAGCATTCAACACTCTATAACTTGAGAAGATTGGGAAATTCCTAGTAAATTCAGCATAGTTATCACTGAAGTGTGGTACGGACGCCAGTACCTTTAGTGATCAGTTACCTATGAAACGGGAAATCAATTTTTTTGTTAGCTACCTAATGAGAAAAAAGTAAAGTGCGACAGAGAAACTTTGAGAGCATTTAGATTGAAAGCACCATGAATCTACAAAATTGGCAGTACATTAGTCGCAAACTGCTTTTACACAAAAAAAGACTGGTCAAAATATCGAATGGAAACAACCTGGCATTGTTTAACAAGAATTTCTTTTTTTCAGTTACGAAGTAACTTTCTAAGATAAAACATAATACTATAATGTGGGTCGATGTTAGTATTCAAAATTCTGTTGACAAACGTACAAGTTTATTTCAGGCCCATAATCCTCTCAAAAAGGTGCACTTTAGTGAAAAGCTCTAGCCGTCGATTGCGACCTTGTGTGTGGCCTTCAAACAGCTGGGTAACTGAGGGATCAAGTTATCTAATTCCCATGATGCAGGACCCCTCCCTCTCGCATTTTATCAATTTGTCTCCGATGACTCTCACTCATCCTACAAAACTAGTAAGCCAAACGAGCTTCACTTGCATCAAAGAATCGGTTCAGCGCTTCACTGTTACTCGCGTGCACCTAATTAATTAAAAAGCAAAGTACTTGTTTATTCCCCGCTTCTTCAAAAATTGGCATGAGCTGTTTCTGAAAATGGCACCATGGTAATTCATCTCAGCTCAACTCAAAATCCTCAGGTTTTACATTACTTTTTTTCGAAATCATCACTAACGACATGTACTCGGATTTTCTCTGGCTCCTCTCGACAAACAGATACACAGGTGTTGTGATCCTGCTCAAGTGCAAATAAACTGGCTTGCTTTATTACAGCCATACCTGGTTTGCCATAACATTCTAAACCTTACGGTAGCCAGCCCCAACTCAAACACAAGCATCACAATAAAATAAACTACTATGAATCAGGAAGTGCATTCTCTCTCAATCTATATATAGAGTTTGTCCTGAAAGCTGTCCCAGAGCTGCTCCACCTTTAACCAGCTACCATGTTCGGTCCTACCGTGTATTATTAAATTGTTCAGGCTGTTCATTCACTTGACGAGTCTAAGCCTCTTCGGGCTTCGCTGGCCTTGATGCTATCGTGACATTATAGTGACATTATAGTTAAAAAACCCGAAGCTTGGTTAGGAACAACCCGATGAACCGAATTAAAGACGTTAAGCACGGTCCTATGAGGCCGAACCCCTCTTGGGACGGACTATGTAGCTAAACACAGTGGAGAGGTTTCAGCTAATTTCACTCACCCAATGATCCGCCTAGTGAGTTTGTTTACAAATAGTTCAAATGTGGTGCGG